AGAAAGGATATAGAATTATTATAAAAAAAAAAAAAAAAAAAAAAAAATAGACAAAGTACAAAGTAAAAAGTTTTATTTAAAAGAATTCTAAAATATACATACATATAGTAAGTAAATAGAGGTCTATCTAATAGAATTCAAATAGAGCTAATCAATGTAGCTAATTATTTAATAATAACCAGCACACATTCAAGATATGCTATAAAAAAAAAAATAGTATATAAATATTATAAGATTTAACTAATAAGACACATGAGTGATGAACATAAAGTTTATTATTGTACATATATTTTTAGTATGTAAATGATGGAAACTACACTACAAAAAAATTAAAGCAAAAGTGAAATCAAAATCTAATTATGGAAACATAGATATAATTGGAAATAATCTAAAAATTATTAGTATATTTTAGTAATTTCATAAAAAACTTACACAGTAATGCATATATCTAACTATAGAATCAAAAGTCATTAAATTTATAAATCTTATAAATGCAACCTGAATACAATAAGAAATTTTTGGGGCTATATCAAATAATATCAGATAATATTAGATATATCATGATATAAGATATATAAGATAAAATAATATAAAATTATTTGCAAAAATCCTTTCTGTTTTAGCTTAAAAGGAAATGTGGCAGGTTACAGTAAAATCATAGCCAATAAACATGACGATTTACATCTGATATTAATATTATTAGAAATGATATACAGCATGCTGATAAAAAAAATAGGAGGGGGTTAATGAAAATTATTATCTTCTACAAAAATACATATACTATATTATTTTCTAATTGAATATTACATAGAAATATTTGGGGTTTCGAGTAAGGTTTTGGGTTTCAGAAAAGTTTCAGGGTTTCAGATAAGGTTTCAGGTTTCGAATAAGGTTTCGGGAAGATATAATCTGAAACCTGAAACTTTCAGATTTTGGTGAAAGGGGTTTTGAAGCCAGCCCTAAATTGGATTGACCAAAAAATCATTCAGCTAGTTTTTTTCAAGTGTCCCAAAATTTATGAAAACAGCTATAACAAAATAAGCAAGATTAGCCTATATAAAACTGGATACTCTAACTCATGCTTTACATACTGGTATAAATTCACTTAAATTTTTTATTACTAATAAGATAGTTGTGCTAATAAACCATGCAATATTTTTTTTTAAATTAAATAACATTAGAAAAAGTTAGCCTAAGGATTTCATGTAATTTTCATTGATTAATGGCTCAAATCGTATCATTTTCAAGTTTATATAGAATTGATAAAGCTAGTTCTAGCAGTTTTAATATGAATCTAGAAATGATACGATTCGAAATATTAATTAATTTCATATTGAGACTAAAAAGCTATGATATTAGTCTGATATGCTTTATTTCAACTAGTGATATATATTAATGTTTCATATAATTTTATATAAATAGACAAGCTTTCTGTTAAAAATTAATTATTAATAAACTTTCAACATTAATAAACCTTGATACTATATAATTATTCGATTTTTCAAAATGAGAAAATTTCTTTTAAATATAATTTTTGGCATATTTCTTTTCTTTACTTTGTCTAAATCAATTATGAGCAATGAAGGTGAAAAGTTCTTTAAAAGACAAGGTTTATATCTTAGGTTTTTTTAAAAAAAAATATTAGCAAATAAAATTTTGTAATTTTACAACCTTTTTCTTTAAATTTATAAAAAGGTAATAGAAATACTGGAACTGTTGGAGCTGATTGTAGCACAGATTCAGACTGCATTAGCAGAATTTGTCAAGGTGAATTATTTATATGTGAAAACCAAGATTTTCGTGGCATTAGAGTATCTTGTTTAAGTGATTCTGCATGTAGATCTCTGATTTGCCGCAATAAAGATACTTGCCAGAATAGTGATAATTGTTCTCTTGGTTCTTCCTGCATAATTGATTCTGCATGTGATCTTGGTATTAGTAATACTAATGGACGTAAAGGTAATATATAGAGGGGAGTCAATAGAAAAGAGACAAATTTTTTCTAAGTAAAAGTTTTCTTGACTTTAAGCTTATATATTTTAGCAATTATCTTATTAAATTTAATAAATTTTTTTTTATTTTAATTCTATATAACTTCAAGATTAAAATAAAAAAAGTTTTAACAATTTTGATTAAATAGTTGTTGAGATATTTTAATTTAAAAATTAAAAAAAATTACTAAAAATGATTTGTCCCTTTTCTATTGACTCACCCCCATATTTTGTTTGTTTATTTGATATTGCTATGTGTTTGTTTGTTGTTTTGTTGTTGTTGGTTTAATGTCTAATTAGCTTACTAATTTAGTTATTTGTTTACTTTCTATTTATGTCTGTTTGTTTTGTTGTAGAACTAATCTGCAGAATAGAATAAGAGTAATATCTTCAAAAAAATAAAAATTTTTTTAAAATTTTTCTAAAAACATAAATTTTTTTTAAAAAAGTTGTTCAAGGCTTGTAACAAGCCTGGTTGCTTTATTAACTTAGTATTAATTTTTCTAGCTTGATCTTTTATTTTAAAACTATTTTGTTTTTTTTTTTTTTGGTATTAAGATAACCTCTACAGCCTAGTAACTTTTTTATTAAATACAATATATGTTTTTATAATTACAATGAGAGTACATCAAGCCACATGTGCACTTTTGGTGCCTAATTTAAGCAGTCTGCCCAAAGGTTCTATACTATCTGCCATACCTGCACCCCAACTACAAAGATATCTATTTAAACTCTCTAGTTACAATTACCATTTGCTATACCTAACTCTAGATATTATTTACTATACATACATGGTTTTGCTTCTACCCAATAGATTTCGCACCCACTTTAGAACTTACTAATCTATTTTGGCTAATTTATCCATGAGGTAAACCTAACAGAATGGTCCATGTCTCATACATATATTCATTTGCATATTCGGTAACTTCTTTCTAACTAGTACCTGCTATACTGCTACACTGTGTTTGTATCTTATATCATTTTTTAAGATGCTGCCATTCTACAGCTACTCAAGCCACAATCTTCCTAATTAGTTGCCTATTACATACTCCTTGCTCTTATAAGATTCACACAACCCTAGTACCCACATTCGAATTTTCCTTCTTTCTTGGATTCTTTACCAGTCTCTCTCTTACTTCTAGCTAGCAACCCAAAAGGGTTAGTCTGCCCAGGCTTTAGGTGCCTTATGGTCTCTCTTTTCTTGATACATGCTTTTAAAACACATGTCCTTTTCTCCAGTTGGCAATCTGGTGATTTGGCTGGTGTGTTCTTCTACTTAAGGACCTGGTCACTTGGTTTTCTGGTCTTGGTCTCCAATTTCAAATTCAGTTTTCCTGTAGCACTATTAAAGATCATACTACCTCCCTACTTAAAACTTGCCAAATGGGTTTTCAGTAATTCTGGTTTTCTAAATTTATTGTGTCGAAACTCCCATTCAAGATAGTATGACTAAGATTACAGATATCTAGATCCAACTGATAATCTTAACGTTAATCGATACAGATTTGGTATTTTCAAAATCATTGTCTGTGGGATTTGAACTTTAGACCTGCTATCTAGTGATGTGACAACTCTACTACTTCACTAAGTTGCCACACTCATTTTAAAACTATTTTGTATATTTGCTTAGTACTAATATGCTTTATATTTAATTTTTCTTTTGCTCTAGTTTTGAGTATAGTGATTAATAAGAAGAGTTTTTCTTAAATAAAGTGTTTACTTTGTATATATATTTATTTAATATATAGATAATAATATATTACTCTATATATAAATATTTTTCTTAGCAAAAACTATTGACTTGGTTAACAATTAGCTAAAAAAAAACTTTTGATTTGAATACTAATATACAGAGTATAAGAATATTATTAATACAATATAAACTATAATCTAATATATTATCGAGCTTGAAGCCAAAAATACTAACTAGACTATTACTATGATTTAAATAATAAAAAAAAAAAAACTTATAAAAATTCTAATTATTTTATTAATATATATTAATATATAATACTAAAATCGCAATAGCAATCATAAAAGAATAGATTAATAAAATTAACTTAATAGTTTTTACTAATTATAAATTATATTGTAAAAATTGTATAATATAAAAATAAAATTTGATAAAAATATAGAAGTATAGCAACTTAGTATAGTTGGTTAGTTGTTACTTTTCAAGCTCTTTGTAACTAAAGATATAAAGTTCAAATCTTGCTAGTGATGTTTTGAATAATTATTTTGTATTATAATAACTAATCTTTATTAATTAGTTAGATTCTAGAGTTTGTAGATTCAGTCAGACTAGTGTATTTGTGTATCAGAAGGTTTTAGAAGTGTCTGTGTGATATTAGAGTTGTACAAAAGAATGCAAACTAGAATAGATAATGCAAACTCATAATAAACCTTTCAGAATCAAAAAAACTAAAAGAGGACTAGAATATTAGAAACTAGCTTGAAAAAATCTAAGTAGAGAGATAATGCAAATCTTTAATAGTATTATAAAAAAAACTAAAACTAAAAACAGATACTTGAATTAAAAATAAAAATACAAAAAACTTCTAAGAGTAAGAATACAAAGTACTCTCAAGAAAAGAAGAATACAATATACTTTTATAAAAGAAACCAACTAAAGCTACTAGAGTACAAGCTAGAAAAAAGTATATATATTACAGAAGTATATACTAGAGTTAAGATAACTATAAACTGAAAGTTTGGCAGATTTAATCTTCTGGATCATTAGATTAAAATACTCTGAAAGCTAGAGATAGAAGTTTATGAATTAAAGGTAGGGTGTAACTATTTCCAAATTCATATAAAATAGATTGTAGATCAACATTGTATAACCAATATCTTATTGTATCA